TTTGACCTGAAGAGCTAATAAGTTGAAAACGTAGGGCATAATTATGTCATCCAGTTGTTGTCATTTCATATTTACTGTGTAATCTAACTTGCATTTAGAAAACTGAACCTTAATATATATATATTATATATATATATGTGTGGTATGGTGTGTGTGTGGTTGTGTGTGTGTGGTAGTGTGTTGTGGGGGTGTGTGTGGCATGTGTGTGTGTCTGTTGTGGTGTGTATGTATTGTGTTGTGGGCTGGTGTGTGTGTGTGTGTGTTCTTGTGTGTGTGTGTGTGTGTGTTGTGTGTGTGTGTCCTGGTGTGTGTGGTGTGTGTGTGTGTGTGTGTGTGTGGATGTGGTATGTGTGTGTATGTGTGTGTTGTGGCGGTGCGTGTGTGTGCGGTCTGTGCGAACGTCGTGTGTGTGCCTTGTTGTTTGTGTGTGTGTTGTGTTGGTGTGTGTGCGGGGTTTGGGGTGTGAAGTGGGAAGTGGGTGGGTTGTGCGTCGTGCTTTGATTAATTAGACTTTAATAATAAGGGTAACTCGCATCAGCCATCTCTTTGCCATCAGGAGGACTATGGGGTTGTACACGCGACAGGATCGGTTCTGGACGAGAGGAGACATCCGCGTTCCACATCCTCCATCTACTCGCAAACATGCGCAAACGAACAGAACCAAGCATGAGATGATTGAGGTTTTCCCCAATTCAAGTTCCCGGCGCGGATGACGCGCCGTCGTTCTCAGCCATGCTTCACGTACGTGAGTTTAATTAGCTCCGCGCAAACGGAGACGTGAAGGGTCATGCGAAATCGCTCGCGCGCTGCGCGCGCGTGCGGAGGCAAAACTTGTGTGTGTGTGGTAAAGCACCGCGCGATCCGATTAGGCGCGTTCCGAGTTCATGCGAGTGCGAGTCAGCAGCAGCCACATGTGAGCGCGAAGGCGAGCAGCAGCAGGGGCGATCGTCAGTCAGCAGCGCCACCGCGCGGATCGATAAGCGCTGTCTTAATCATGCGAGTGGCGAGGGTCAGCAGGCAGCCACCCGTTTATCCAGTAGAGGCGAGCAAGCGAGCAGGCCGCGAGTCATGTCAGCAGCGCCACCAGCGAGCACATTACTTGTTACGATCTCGCGGAGGTTATGCACTCTCCTGAGTGCTCTCTGTCTAGTTACTACTACTATATAATGGATGCTGCATGCCCGAGCCGTGCATTGCGATGGCGCTGGCTTCGTGCGTGCGTGACGTCAGCTGTTGTTCGGTGTATTGTGCGGCCCGCGGTAATGTGTGTCTGTGTGTGTGTGTGTGAACTGTGTGTGTGTTTGTGTGCTCCGTGTGTGTGCTGTGCGTGTCCTGTGGCGCTTCGTGTGTGTGTTTGTGCGGTGTGTGTGTGTGTGTGTGTCGTGTGCGGCTGTGTGGCTGGTGTGGGTGGATATGTCATGCTGGTGTGTGTGCTTCTGGCGCGAGCGCTGTGGTGTTGTGTGTTTGGGCGCGCGCTCAGCGCAAGCGCGTCGTGTGATGTGTATGTGTGTCGTGTGTGTGTTTGTGTCGGCGGTCTGTGTCTGTGCGTGGGCACCAGGGCAGTGTGTGTGGAGGCGCACCGCTCCACCAAGTGGTGTGTGTTTGCGCCTGGTGGTCTGTTGTCTGTCTCGGTGTGTTATGCGTGTGTGTGTGTGTGGGCGCTAGCCGTGCGTAGCCGCGTGTGTGTTGTGCCGGTCTGTGTGTGTGTTGCGGGTTGTAATCTGCAGTGCGTGTGTGTGTGTGTACTGTGTTGTGTGTGTGTGGTGGTTGTGTGTGTGTGTGTTGTGTGTGTGGTGCCCGCGCTGTGTGTGGTGTGTGTGTGTGGTGTGCGTATGTGTGTGTGTGTGCCCGGTCTGTGTGTGTGTGTGGGCGCTGCGCGCCGCGGGCGTTGTGTGTGTGTATGTGTGTGTTGTGTGTGTTTGTGTCCCTGTGTCGTGCGCGCTTGCGTGTGTGCGTGTGTGCGCGCTTGCGTGTGTGCGTGTGTGCGCGCTTGCGTGTGTCTCGGTGTAACCATCAGAAGCGACGTGTGTTACAGGTACACGAGTATCTCGAAGCGTACGCCGACCGCTACCGTCTGCGAGAAAACATTCGTCTGCGACACGTCGTCACGTCGGTGTCGCGACTCGACAGCAGCGACGACCCTCAGCGTCCTCGCTGGTCGCTGACGGCGCGCGACACGGCGACGTCGGCCGAGCAGACTCGACTCTACGACGCCGTGCTAGTCTGCTCCGGCCACTGCTCCGCTCCCTACTTCTCGCCCGTCACCAACATCGACGCGTTTCACGGCGACGTCCTTCACAGTCACGACTACCGGCGACCGGAGCCGTACGCGCGTAAGACGGTCGTCATTCTAGGCGCAGGCGCCAGCTCGCTCGACATCGCTCTGGACATCAGCCGCGTGGCGACGCGTGTCATCGTCAGCATCGGCGGGCTCGACACGTTCGAGTTACGTCGCCAGCACGCCGACGGTAAACTTCCGCCGAACCTCAGCGTCGCCAGGTGGCCGCAGCACGTCGGCGAGACGACGGTGAGATTCGCCGACGGCGAGACGGCCGACGTCGACGCCATCTTGTTCTGCACGGGCTACACGTACAGCTACCCGTTTCTCGACGAGTCTTGCGGCGTTGCCATTGACAACGGCAAGCGCGTGCGCCCTCTATACAAGCACATGATCAACACGAAGCACCAGACGATGATCTTCATCAATGTCATCTTCATTCCGATTCAGTTCATCGTCGCTTACGCGCAGGTTCCCGTCGCGCTGAGCATACTCGACGGATCTCTGCAGTTGCCGAGCGAGAAGCTGATGAACGAGGAGACAGAGCGGGAGTACGAGAGACGCCGCCAGGCTGGACAGAATCCGGGCTACGCGCACAGGTGGGAGTGCGAGAGGTTCAGCGGCGCGCACTACTACGCTGACCTAATCGAGTACGAGTACCCGAAATTCGGCGATACCACGTACAAGGAGTTGATGGCGAAGGCGAAGAAAATCGACGTTAAGATAACAAACAATATCTGCAATTACAGAGACTTTGATTACACATGAATATTGCTACCCATAGCACTAGATGAGAAACATTAATTCAGTTGATTCGCTCACGTACGAAACTTAAGCGCACAAACACATGCGCACGCACGCACACCCACATATATTACGCGAAACGTAAAGCTAACCTTTACAATTATGATTAACGTTAATGTTGCTGCTGTTATTATTATTATTATTATTATTATTATTATTATAATTATTATCACGAATTGCTAATTCTTTTTCGCTTTTTATATACAGTGAATTTTAAGTTTTATATATACAGTTTTATTCGAAGTGCAGACGTCTCACCCTTCTAGAACAAACTACTTCTGCGGAGCGGTCACGAGCTCTCGAGCTGGTCAAAGCAAGATAATAACGCAAACTCCAGCCTATTGTTATTATGTCGGTCCAACTAGATAGTTTGTACGTGTTTTTTCATGTGTCCATGCCATACTACGATAAGGATGTATAGATAGATATACTCGTAGATTCAGTTGTATGACAATAGGTAATCGGTGGTATAGCCATAACGGTTGAAAAACCCGTTAGTTGACGGAAACTTATGTGCGTATTTTGGGAATTTTCGGATATAGATCCCGTATTCACATATTTGTGATAAATTTTTGTGATTTGTTTTACAATTTTATGAATAGTAAAAACCTGAAATTATTAGAGTAATGAAATTAAACATTTTAAATCCAAATAGAAAAAAAAGAAAGAAAAAATGAAAAGAATGCATTAGAAAATGAACGTTTTGCGATAGTAAACTCGGAGTTTGAATTGTTGTTTGTCGTTATTTAATCCATCCTGGCAGTCAACGGTGACCGATGCACGAGCGCCATCTTCATGTACAATAGCGTAGCCGGAACCCGGCGAGCGATCGATGCTGCGAGCAAAGGGAATATTATAGATCAGATTTTATTATGCACACGTGCCGTCGGCCCGCCCGCGACCAGTTTGAACATATAAGAACGGGCGAAGAAGATTATATTGGCAATCAACGGTGTCCGACGTCGGAGCGCCTGTTTCATGTACATTAGCATAATCGGAGGAAAGGGTAAGAATGTCTGGAGGAATGAGGAAATGCGTCAGTTAAGATAGCTGAGGGGTTGTAGAAAAAGAATGAGGCAGAGCGAGGAACAAGGGAGGAAAGGGTAAGTACAGGAGGGTCGAATGAGTTTTGTACACTACAGGCTAGGGCCCTCTTCTAAGGCCAATCATAAGCACAGGTCTACTAATAACAATTTATTACATAAATCTATGCTGAGATACCCCGTAACCATATTAAATCCATAATCGTCACAAAATATAACTTCTCTGGTGAGATATTGCGCATGCGCTAACACACTAACATAGCCAGATTGTGTACTGACTGTTATATGCAGAGGGCACCTTGCATGCAATGTTTTCTTCCTATTTCTTAAATGAGGTCTACTGATAGAATGTTATAATTTAAATCTATGCTAGAATACCTCTTCTCAATTTTAAATGCATAATTTTCGCAAAATAATATTCCTCTTGGAAGATATTGCGCATGCGCGAGCATCGTTTTAGGCGTCCAGTACGGACTGAAGAACATTGCATCATAATATAGCTTGCCGAGAGAAAAGGTTTGGAGACTGAAGCAAGGTGGCAGGGAAGATAGCTAAAAGTGGTAGAAGAAGAAGGAGGCTGAGCGAGGGACTGGGGAGGCAAGGGATAAGACGGGAGGGGGTGAAGTTGGAGTGCACCGTTATCGGGGTGCATTACGGACTGAAGAACACAGCATAATATAGCTTACTGAGAGAGAGAGAAAGAGAGAGAGAGAGAGAGAAATAGAGAAGGGTGGGAGACTGAGACAAGGCGGCAGGGAAGATAGCTGAGAGCGGTAGAAGAAGAAGGAGGCTGAGCGAGGGACAGGGACGGCAAATGGTAGGACGAGAGGGGGTGAATTGGAGTTTTGCACCCTATACAGGCTAGGGCGCTCTGCCAATCATAAGCACAGATCTACTGATAACAATTTATTATATAAATCTATGCTGAGATACCCCGTAACCACATTAAATGCAAAATCGTCACAAAATATAACTGCTCTGGTGAGATAATGCGCATGCGCTAACACACTAACATAGCCAGACTGTGTACTGACTGTTATATGCAGCGGACACATTACATGCAATGTCTTCTTCCTCTTTCTTAAATGAGATCTACTGATAAAATTTTATTATATAAATCTATGCTAGAATACCTCTTCTCCATTTTAAATGCATAATTAAAAAAAAAAAAAATTTGTCTCGGGAGATATTGCGCATGCGCGAGCATCGTTTTAGGCGTTCAGTACGGACTGAAGAACATTGCATCATAATATAGCTTGCTGATAGAGAAGGGTGGGAGACGGAGGAAAGGCGGCAGGAAAGATAGCTGAGAGCGGTAGAAGAAGAAGGAGGCTGAGCGAGGGACACGGGAAGTAAGGGATAGGACGGGAGGGGTAAAGTTGGAGTTTTGCACCCTACAGGCTAGGGCGCTCTGCCAATCATAAGCACAGGTCTACTGATAACAATTTATTACATAAATCTATGCTGTGATACCCCGTAACCACATTAAATGCATAATCGTCACAAAATATAACTCCTCTGGTGAGATAATGCACATGCGCTAACACACTAACATAGCCAGACTGTGTACTGACTGTTATATGCAGCAGGCACCTTACATGCAATGTCTTCTTCCTATTTCTTAAATGAGGTCTACTGATAGAATGTTATCATTTAAATCTATGCTAGAATACCTCTTCTCCATTTTAAATGCATAATTTTCGCAAAATAATATTTCTCTCGGGAGATATTGCACATGCGCGAGCACCGTTATCGGCGTGCATTACTGACTGAAAAACACCGCATAATGAAGAAGGAGGCTGAGCGAGGGTACCGCTCTCAGCTATCTTTCCTGCCGCATTGCCTCGGTCTCCCGCCCTTTTCTCTCAGCAAGCTATATTATGATGCAGTGTTATTCAGTCTGTACTAAACGCCTAAATCGATGCTCGCGCATGCGCAATATCTTCCGAGAGGAACATTATTTTGCATAAATTAAGCATTTAAAATGAAGAGGAGGTACTCTAGCATATATTTATATAGAAATATCCAGTCAGTAGACCTCATTTAAGAAATAGGAAGTAGACATTGCATGTAAGGTGCCCGCTGCATATAACAGTCAGTACACCATCTGGCTATGTTAGTGTGTAGCACATGCGCATTATCTCACCAATGGAGTTATATTTTGTGACGATTATGCATTTAATATGGTTACGGGGTATCACAGCATAGATTTATGTAATAAATTGTTATCAGTAGACCTGTGCTTATGATTAGCAGAGCGGCCTAGCCCGTAGCGTGCAAAACTCCAACTTCACCCTCTCCCGTCCTACCCTTTGCCTCCCCTGTCTCTCGCTCAGCCTCCTTCTTCGTCCAGCGCTCTCAGATATCTTCCCTGCCACCTTGTCTCAGTCTCTCACCCTGCTCACTCTCAATCTCAATAAGCTATATTATGCTGTGTTCTTTAGTCCGTAATGCACGCCGACAACGGTGCTCGCACATGTGCAATATCTCACGAGAAGAAGAATATTTTGCGGAAATTATGCATTTAAAGTAAAGAAGAGGTATTCTAGCATAGATTTATATCAAAACATTCTATCACTAGACCTCATTTAAGAAATAGGAAAAAGACACTGCATGTAAGGTGCCCGCTGCATATAACAGTCAGTACACAATCTGGCTATGTTAGTGTGTTAGCGCATGAGCATTATCTCACCAGAGAAGTTATATATTGGGACGATTATGAATTTAACATGGTTAGGGAGTATCTCACATAGATTTATGTAATAAATAGTTATCGGTAGACCTGTGTTTATGATTGGCAGAGCGCCCTAGCCTGTAAGGTGCAAAACTCCAACTTCGCTCCCTCCCGTTCTACCCTTTGCCTCTTCTGTCCCTCGCTCAGCCTCCTTCTTCTACCGCTCTCAGCTATCTTTCCTGCCGCATTGCCTCGGTCTCCCGCCCTAATCTCTCAGCAAACTATATTATGATGCAGTGTTATTCAGTCAGTACGAAACGCCTAAATCGATGCTCGCGCATGCGCAATATCTCCCGAGAGGAATATTATTTTGCGAAAATTATACATTTAAAATGAAGAGGAGGTATTCTAGCATATATTTATATAGAAACATCCAGTCAGTAGACCTCATTTAAGAAATAGGAAGTAGACATTGCATGTAAGGTGCCCGCTGCATATAACAGTCAGTACACAATGTGGCTATGTTAGTGTGTTAGCGCATGCGCATTATCTCACCAGACGAGTTATATTTTGGAACGATTATGCAACTAATATGGTTACGGAGTATCTCAGCATAGATTTATGTAATAAAATGTTATCAGTAGTCCTGTGTTTATGATTGGCAGAGCGCCCTAGCCTATAGAGTACAAAACTTCAACTTCACCCCATCCCGTTCTATCCCTTGCCACCCCTGTCCCTCGCTCAGCCTCATTTTTCTTCTACCGTTCTCAGCTATCTTTTCTGCCGCCTTGCCTCAGTCTCCCACCCTGCTCTCTCTCTCTCTCTCTCTCTCTCTCTCTCTCTCTCTC